ATTGACAACTCATCGGGTGGATCACACCTTCACTTTCTCCTCATCACTTTACTAGGCCTCTGACGCTCCAAGCTATCATCCAAGCATGATTTTTCCCATTTGAAAGCTCATTCAAAGTGTGTTTGTTTCCATGCAAGGAATGGAACCCCTACCTCATCATCTATTTAAGCCCAAGATCTTCCATCCTTGTGAACGGTCTATAAATACGTTGAAGTTTGTAAATGAATAGCCTTGAGACAATTAGGATTACATCATTTTCCCCTTCTTGTAAAGGATGCATCCTCGAATCCATATCTTGCAAATAAATAGGGGAAGTAAACACGAAAAGATCCTCATTGCATGAGGTTTAGCGTTAGCAATAACAAGTTCATAACCTTACCAAGGATGCACAAATTTTACATAAAACCAGCATCAAATATCAACCAAGGGTCTATAACTTTTCAAACAGAGGGATGTTTGGCTACTTGAGAAATGCTTAAAAAGGGGTAAAGCTAAGGAACCAAGACACTTAAACAACTTCATATGTAAGCCTTCATTGATTCCACATTCAAAAAGGCACAAGGCCTACCTTAGGAAAAGCGCAAATGATACTTGTTATCTTGAACAAGCATCATTTCACATGTTTCACAAGTCAAATTACTACGGGGATAAAATGGAAAGGAATCCATGGGCTTGAATAGAGTACACCTCCTTTTACTCGATTGACACCCTCATCTTCTAAAAACATAATCCCACTCAACAATATGAGCATCATCATATATAAACAATCAATAGAGAAAGGGGTCTCTAAAACAACTTCTTCTAAGGTGTTTTCATGGGTATAACTACAAATAAGTTCAAAATCATTGGTCATAACTTTAAGAATTAAAACATTCCAAGAGGAAGAGGTAATAGTGAAACACACAATATTCCACCTCATCACTTTAATATTGAATGTGTGACAACACTACCGTAAAAAAAGGTTTTGGAGTGCACTATTAATGATTCCACAATTTGGACTCATTTAGGGGTATAGTTTGGTAGATTTAGTTTCCTCAAATGCATATTTGTCTCAATAACTAATAAAAAGCCGTGAATTTTATTTATTTTAATTTGGAGGTAAAGCATGGACACTACTGAGTAAAAAAGAACAAGGTAGATGAAAGAGTAAGCAAATAACAGCCTGAAGATCGCCTAATCTATTAGGTGAGTTTCCCAATGCCCTTTAACTCACTTAATGTTCCAGTGTACTAAGCCCTGAAGGAGAAAATCAACTCGGTGGTAAATGGAGAAATTTGAGTATCACGAACAGTTCTACAATGCAGTGCAATATCGCCCAAAGTTATATAACGTCAAAAATTCTGAAGGCAAAGGAAAAACAACAACGCAAATAAAAAAGGGTGAATCCCTGAGTTAACCAGCAATCCCGACTAATTGTGTTGATTAATCTTTCGCATCACAATTTTTGACAACTATAAATATGTTTAAATTCTTAGATTACTTCCTAGACATTTCGAGAGTATCTAGACTTTGTGTAACCAGATAGATAATTCTATTTTTAGTTCTTAGAGTTATGAGAGACAATGTTCTTGAGTTTTAAAATATTCAAATATTTCGAATTCCAATATATTAGAAGTGGGTGTTTAAGATTCTTCATCGTAGACCTGTGTAACGACATTATCAATCGTACCCAATTGTTGGAAACACCAGTTGGTATCGATTTCTTGCTTTTAACTATGTATAGCTAAAACCCCAATTCTTGGGGTATGATTATGTGAATATAGGTTGAATTTACTGCTGGGTCTTGCAAATTAGTAGTTGATTTACTGTTTAAATGTGACATCACTGAGTAGTTGTGTATGAACTTAATAGGATTGTAGTTGCAAATATAATTTTATTTTTGTGTTTTTGAATTGCCCGAGAGAGAGGTTTTAAAATCAAGACTATTGAATCAATAGCATATGCTTATTAGGTTGTTGTAGGTTCAGCTCGAGAGAGTGAATCCTAAACCCTCTTCCACACATTCATATCAAAAGAGTTAAATGGGCTAAGGTGAAGGCTACGCGTAGTTGTGGCTTATCAGTGTTCAAGAGAAACCTATCTGATTTAGGGTAAATTGCTTGAGAGAAAATATACTCCTCTTAGAGTTTAACTTCGTCAAAAATTTACAGTGACTTACTATCAATAGCATGTACCCAGTTGTTTATTTTAGCCTATGTTCCTATCACATCCCAAAAATCTCATATCCTTATTCGTATCTCTGTTTTTATCGTTTTAGTTGATAAATATCTATAAATCCCCCTTTGATATTTGACAATTATGTCACCCCTTGAATTTATGATGTTTTACTCATTAATGTCTTTATCTATAACTAATTAGAACCGATTCTCACTGGACTATAATTTCTCAAAACATTTCCCTGTGGGATTCGACTCCAACTCAATTAGTTTGTTTATCTTACTATACCGAGTGATCATTTGTAGCACAATTTTTGACAAACATAAATACATTTTTAAATTCTTCGTCTAATATTTAGACATTATGGGAGTATCTAGACTTTTAGTAAACAAATAGATAATTCTATTTTTAGTTCTTAAAGTGTTTGGGAGACATTTTTCTTGAGTTTTTGAAGATTCTAAGATTTCCAATTCCAAGAAAAATGTAGTGGGTGTTGAAGATTTTTCATTGTAGACTTGTAAAGACATTATCAATCATACCCAGTTGATGGAAACACCATTTGGTATCAATTTTTTACTGTTTACTATGTCTAGCTAAGACGCCAATTCTTGGTGTGTGATTATGTTAATTCAGGTTAAATTTATTGTTGGGTCTTGCTAATGAGTAGTTAATTTGTTTTTAAATGTGATTTCGTTTATTAGTTGTGTATGAACTTAATGGAATTATTGTAGAAAATATAATTTCATTTTCATGTTTTTGGCTTACTCAAGAGAAAAGTTTTAAAAACAAGACTACTGAATTGATAGACTATTATTATTGGGTTGGCTATCTACCGCTTTTAAACCTGTTTGCATAGGCTCGTGCACTGATTTACGTTCAATAATCCCAGGGGCTTTCACTTGTCATGATTCAGGTTGAGAGAGTAAATCCTAAACCATCTCCCACATATTCAGCTTAAGAGAGTGAAAAGGATAAGGCAAAGGCTGGGTGTAATCGCGGCTATCAGTGTTCGAGAGAAATCAATTTGATTGGGAGTAAATTTCTCGAGAGACAATTAACCACCACTAAAGTCTAGTTTATCACAATTTTACAACAATTTACTATCAATAGTATGTCCACGGTTGTTTATTTTAGCCCATATTTCTATAACCTCCCGATAATCTTGTCTACTTATCCGTATCTCTAGTTTTACTATTTTAGTATATAATTATTTATAAAAAAACCCTTCGATATTTGACACTTGTGTCACCCTTTGAAATTTGATGTTTTAGCACATTAAAGTATTTAGGTATAACTAATTTGAATTGATTCACACTTGACTATCAATTCTTGAAACCACTCCCTGTGGAATTCGACTCTAATTCACTTAGTTGGGTTATATTATTGACAACCATCGACACTTAGAATTGGATGATGTGTCCTGATGTGTTAATCAACTAACAACATTAATGACGCTCATCACTACAGGATGAAGACTAGGTCCCCAATGGGAATAATAAGTTGGCTCGCCCTTCCCATATATGATGGAACTCCAAGGTGGTTACACATATGGGGCCCGATAGAAAAAAGGGACCTACATATAGCTGCTAAATATTGGTTTGACTTTATCAGTGGTACTCTGATGGCATCCCATAATGAGTGTTTTTCACCACTTAAAAGTAGCTTGTCTTAGTGCGAACGTTGCACTAAAGAGAATTAATTTGGGGAGGATTGAGGTAGAGTACCTAAAAGATAAGGCAGAGAAGAAGAAGAAGAAGAAGAAGAAGAAGAAGAAGAAGAAGAAGAATGAACGAATGAACGAATGAATGAAGCACTAGTTGACTCTTCACCGGTTGTGAAGACAGACTTGTTACCTAGAGAGGCACCTGTGCCTACTCTGCCCCATATGCCTTTAGTTACCTCTATTGTTGTTCCTTCTGACACTCTAGGTTCTTCTGATGTTGCACTACGTCCTAGACTTGTTTTTGCTATTTATCGTCCTCTACTTACTCAGACCTCATTAATCCGGATAGGAAAGCTTTCCTATTATGCTGATCGTTGTGCATCCAGAATTGAGGTCTCCGTTTCGAGCATAATTTAGACTGCCCTGGTTGATGTTGTGACACCATTAAGTGCTACCATTAATGCACTTGCGACTAGGATAATAGTCTGTGAGCATGGTCAAGTGTCCAGCTAGGAGGCGACGACTTTAAAGGCCATTATTATTGCGTTGATGGGTGGTTGGATCTGCTAAATTCCACCAATATGTCCTTGATTTTTGGGACTCTAGCGATTTGAGTCATGCCAGAAATGCCTCTGGTTATCACCGAAGTTGAGGTTAGAGTTGAAGAAACAGTTGATCCCGAGTCTGAGGTGGAGACGGATGAGGACATGCTTGAAGTTGCTAAGGAAGCTTTATATGAGGGCTTTATTGAGACTGAGGAGACCATGGTAAACACAGTTGTGCATGATTCTTTGGTAGATACACCCTTGGTTGACCCAAGTGTAGTTGTTGTTCCTTTTGAGGTGACTCTAGTCACTGGTGCCCAAGTTCAGAGTGATGCACCGGGCGCTTATGCCCAGATAGATGGAGCAACTTTTTAGACAGGATCCCTCTTTACTAGTCTCTCAGTCTTACTTTTTGACTTTTGGATATTATTTTTATTGCATTTGAGGACAACTAATTTTTATTTATGTTAGGGTTAGGCCCACCTTTCATGAACTTTTGTGATTATGTTTTGTTTATCTATTGCACCGAATATATATATATATTAACTTTTCTTTTTAATTCCTCATTTATATTAAGCGTCCGATCAGACGACCAAAATTGAATAAGACTTTTTTCCAACAAATGTTTCTTTCTTTTGCAAAAAAATAAATAGTACAATGAGCGCTTGGTTTTCCTAATTTTTCCCGAGATTGCGCCATAGTCTAGGGAAAGAAAGAAAACTTTTTCCCTTCCCTAGAACTCTAACGCTCAAATCCGTCCCCTCTCCCATCAACTTTGGACCATCGAAAAATGGCAATTTCCGATGGATCATCTCTTCGACCCTGTACACCGTCCATCAATCAGCTCTCCTATGGCTTCACAACTTCTCCTCCTTCCCCAGGCGTTCCTCTTCCCCATTCCCCTTCACTATTTCGTCTCATCAAAGAACCGCTATGAGCCGCTGGAACACAATAATACCCGGCGGTCTCTTGCTTTATGTCTTTCCCATCACCTTTTTCTGATGAAAAACAGACCCCTACGCTGCTACATCTCTGCTCTAGCCGAGTTTTGTTTCAAATATTTTCAAAATTTGTGGTCTTAAAAATTTGAAAACTGATGATTGATTTTGATGTCAAGTTGCAACTCTCTGTTTTCCAGCATTATTTTAATTTTCAAATTTGAATTTTGGATTCTTTCACCTATAAAAGGATGGCGTTTTCCCATCCAAAACCAGAGGGAGAAAGGGACAGAGACAGATAGAAAAACGAAGGAGAATCGATTATCATCTAGAAATCAATCATCGATATCCGAAATTCATCATGAGAAACAGATTTTAAAGGTTATTCTCTTTTGTTCTCTGTTTTCCTTCCTTTCTCGAGTTGAAGCACGAGTTCGAATTCGAAATCACTTGACGTCAAAGCTTTTAGTTTGCTGCTCTACGCAAGGTCAGTAATCTTGTTCTATTGACTGTTAGTTCACTGCTTTGTTTTAATTATGTTTATAATATGTAATTAGACATGTTTTAGCTTCTCTCGTGTGTTTAATTAGTTGTTAAGTTACCATTCATATTTTTTAAGTAGTTTCAGTTTACTGGCGGTTTTTTACCCGAGTCTTGAACTCGCCTCCTATGCCTTTGGTGTGATGCCTTGAGTCAAAATTAGTTTATATGTCCAGTTGAATTTTTTCATTTTTTATAAATAGTACCATCTGTATATTTAGCTAAGACATGATTAGTTCGTTTCTTATTACTGCCCTACAACTGATCACTTGGTTCATATGCTAGAGGGAAGAATTAGTTTTAAGACCCAATAAAATATTTGAACAATGTTGTCGCAGTTTCCGTAATCTATTTTTGCAGCACTATGTTTCTTTATTCCGATTTAAGTTTGAGGAAAGCAGCTGGTGTGCTTTAAATTCTGCATTTTTGTTATGTACATTCTGCGTTGCATGTTATCCCGTGTGTATATAAGTTTTGTACAGCTTGTATAGGTTTCATTTTTTTATATAGTTTGTGTTTAAAAGCTCATGTGTCCCGAAGTATGAACATTATCGCATTATTTTTGTATTCCAAACTAGCTCTGTGATTAAATTCTGACTACTACTTCATCACTCTGTTAATTATTTTTAAGTTATGTTAAAAATATGGACTGCCTTAGAGTGTCAATCGAAGCCGAGCACCTACAGTGATCTTCATCTTCATTTCCCTATATTAATCATATCTTGTTATCTTGACGGTTCTACTTCATGATCATGATTTTTCCTAAAAAATATTTCTGACTGTCATCACATACTGCCTCTATTAGATGTTTTAATTTGTTATGCCGAGAACATGTAAGTCTCTTGACTAAAGTTCTGTTAACCCCCCTTTCGTTATCTTGTATAAATACATATATAACGCATTGTTGTTTCTGTTGTTTGGCATAAGAAGTTCTGTTCTTATTTGGATGGTTCTTAAATGAGAATAGTCTTATACAAAGTGAAACTCCTACACATCGCTAAACAACTACAACTAAAGCCTTGTCTCAAATTGCTTCTCTGTTTAGCCTAAATTTAATATCAATTTGGTTAGTGAGTTTATTATTGTTTTGAGTTAGTTACTTAGTAAGGCTGGCTTTTTAACTGGTTGTTTTTCTTTAAGTTTGTGATCCTTTAATTTTCCCTTTTTGTATCTGTCAAGTTTTAGCTTCTATGTTTACTCGTCTTAGTTCAATGTCGTCTCTATTGATGCCTAGTTTTAATTCTTCTTTCTGGTTGGTAACTGAATAGTAATGCCACATGATCAAATCTAGAACAACTTCACATGAATATGCTTGGATTCAAAAGTTGTATCCCTCGTTCCAATCCCCCTCCTTGTTGGAAGATCTGGAAAATATAAGAGCATGATAAATGTCTCGTCGTTAAGTGAAATATAATCCTTCATTCGAGATTCATGAAATTCTGGTTATACATATCCTTCATTTGGGGGCTGATTTTATGAGAACTAATTCAAAAAGTTTTCGACTAACTAGTTTTAATCTAGTAGTGTTGTGGATTGATTTTTTGTGTGTGTGATCAGTCAGTCTTTTTTGCGAGTTGATAGTTAAGGTAGTACCTCACAGTACAAAATAGATAAATAATTGAATTGATCAGCTTTCCAATGACTCATCCTCTAACTGTATGCTAAGATCAAAAACAAGACCCTTTTCTTAGCATGCCCCAAATCTTCTTGTGATGTTTCTCTCTAGATTGATTAAGAATTGGTAAACTAATTGCTTAAATGTCATTAAGAAAGAGCCATAATAGTATGATGTTGTTGTTCTGAGTATATTTTCCAGCATGCCTATGACTACATATTACTTATTTTTAAATGTCTTTGATGAATCTAATATCCAGTTGTTAATTCTACATCTTCTTTGTTCATCACAAGTACACTCGGGAGTGCGTTTAGAGTTAGTATATGACTCCATCTCTGTCCAAACCAGAGAAGCGACTAATAGCCTGCATTACCGCCCGTGTCTAGTAGCCCTTTTTCGCGTCAATAGTGCCCAACGCTTCCTTGTCGCTTCAATGTTTCATGTGCTTTATATACATATACGTGTTGTTGCTTTGACTAACATTTTATACATAGTATTTAACACTGATATTTGATTGCTTCTATTTGTGTTTGGATTTGTACAAACCAACTAAGAACGATGTCTAAAGTACAGATTTTTGTAAGGCCGCAGTGCAGATTCTAAAGTTGAAGGAAGTGCAGATTTTTTAGACAAATATGCAGATTTTTAGTTTCAAAATTGCAGATTCTCAAGCTTACAAGTTGCAGATTTTTTTTAGTGTGAAAATGTTGCTTTAAACTAAGCAGATTTTTAGTTTAAAACTGCAGGTCTTTTTTTGGTCCAATACAAGAACCTTTTCTGGGCTGTAAGGTGTAAGATTTCAGCTTAAAATGCAGACTTTAAGAGGAAAAACTGTTGCTTTAGACAACCCAGCACTGCAGATTTTTCTAGTGTGAAAAATGCAAATTTAACATGCTCTGCCAAGCAAATTATAGCGTAAAAAGGTGGAGATTTTAAACTTGAAAAAATGCAGGCTTTGAGTGGTAACACGTATAGATTTTAACAGCCCAACTGCATTTTTTTTTTTGCGTAAGAATGTCGACGTTTCCTTGGTTCTCGAACACCATTTTGGGATGTAAAAATATAATTTTTTTGGAACTAACCACTATATTTTGAGAGTTTAAAAGTTGTAGCAGTTCAAGTTTGAAAGTTCTTAATAATACTACTTTCAAAAGGAAGAAGAAATGTTATTTTAAAAGAATATTTAATATTTATAATTATCAATACTTACTTAGACCTTTATGTTAAGAAAAGCTTATCATTTAGAACTCCCAAATAAATTTGAAACTAGTTTAAAGGCTAAAATATTCACCCTTTGGAAATACTTGTTTTTTAAGAAAACAGATAAGAAAGTAGGCTTACATATCTAACAACAAATAAATATAACTATAGAATAAGTCTCACTAGTTTGGCCCATTTTATATTATTGACATCACCCCTTTATAAAATATATATGTTATTGTTATTTTTTAGATATTATTAAAAACATTTAATTTCTTAACATGCTATTTTCAAGGATTTTAGATACGAAAGGTTCAAAATATAAGGTACATATATGTCATATGCAAAAAGGTGTAAATTCTATATATAAATAAAAAGATAATTTTCATATCTTTCAAACTCAACATTTATTTTGGATACATTTATATTGGACACCTCTATACTTTTCAGCATATAAAATTATAATACATTTTCATACGCTTATCTATTTATTTATTTATTTTACAATGTAATAGGTATACTAATATTAATTTTTCTATAATGGACTTATATATGTTGTACCTTTTGTTTTACTCTTTTTCTTAAAACTAATAAAATTTACTCATTTTAAAGAGAATAAATAAATAGGTTTTCCTAATTATATTTTTCTAAATTGAGCTTAAGTATTATCGTCAGATAGGCTCTGAGCGGTGATTAACACCTTTCCCTTGAGTAACTAAAATTCGTACTCAGAATCTCACTAGTTTCGCAAATCAAAATAGAGTTTGCATTAACATAAAAATGGTTTTCCTAATGTTTTCCTTAAAATTTCAGGTGGCAACTCTAACACAAAAATTTTTTCAAAAAATTAGAGTGTCAGCTATATTAAGTTGTGAACTGATTTTGGCCGGTTCAAAAATAGGGTGCGTCACTTAAGGCTGGCAATGATATCGCTATAGGGAGAATCGGACCATTAATTACCGGAACCGGTACGGAACTGGTTCTGTGCTGACCGGTCACATTCTAGAAACCGGTAAAAATAGTACTGTTCCGTCCCGGTTCGGAAGAGAACCGGTAGTACACCAGACCGGACCGGACCGGTAATTAAAAAAAATTAATTTTTTTAATTGAATATAATTTTTATTATAATAATTAAGCAATTGAAAATTTAAATATCAAACTTTAAAGTTATAAAATTTAAATTTCAAACTCTTTAATTTTGAAAATTTTAAATTCAAACTTTAAAGTTTTAATTTAAGATTTTCAAAATTTTAAACTTTCAAATTTAAATTTTTCAACTTTTAAAGTTTGAAAATTTTAAACTCAAATTTTAAAGTTATAAAATTTAAATTTCAAACTCTTAAAGTTTGAAATTTTTAAATTTAAACATTAAAGTTATAAAATTAAAAATTGACTTTATTAAAAATTAAATTTAATACAACAATATTAAAAAACAAATTAAGGCGAATAACCTATATTTTTATTAATATTTATTTGATATTACAATTACATTTACAAAAAGAAATTGAATTAAATCTTAAATTATCATATTTTTACTAATAGTTGGTGCCACCATATAAATCCCTTCGTAAATCATTCAATATTTCTTTAGTAACATTTCGGAAATAGGTTGAATAGAAAGATCTTCCATTGCTTCAATACCGTCGTCACTATAATCCTGTATTACTTCATCAACGTCATTTTGAAATTTGGTCGGTAGTGGTTCATGACCCAAATTTCTTCTCTCGGCATTAATCCAATCTCGATATAATACCGATCTCCAAGCTATCGGCTGCTAGTGAATGCCTATGTTTTCCAAGTTGAAACCTTCCTGCACCAAAGACGCCTTCCGAAGCTACCAACAACGCTTGCATTGCTAATATATCTCGAACCATCGATACTAGTTTTGGAAATCCTTTGGCGCAATCTCTCCACCATTTGAGAATATCTTCAGCAGGTTCTGTATTTTGATTAATAAAGGCATCAAAATCATTTCTATTATCGTGAGAAAGTTCAAAATAATCCTTTAAATAATTATCAATATTATTTTCATCAAATCTAACCCTAGAGCTTTCAGATTCATTTTCACTTGATAAATTTATATTAGCATTATATAGATCATACAATTTTCTAGTTTCAATTTTTATGCTATCTTTAACTTGTTGACAGCTAGAAATTTCTTCTAATACATCATTAATATCTAAGTTAAAATATATTTTTTCAATCATTCTTGATGAACCGAAATCTTTATACTTAGGGTGTAACAAACATGCAGTTAAATAAATTTGAGGAATAGGAATATAATATTTTGTAAATTTTATAATCATTTTTTAATGGTTTGTTGAAATCTTGGTTTATTTTTAAATTTATATAATTTAGAAGAAATCATACAAATATCAGGCAAAATAGTACAAATTGATGCACTATAAAGTACAGAAATTCTTTTTGTAGTTAAGTATAAAACTTTTAGGAAATCTATAAGTTCATTTATAACACGTCAATCATTATCATCTACTCTATATGTCATATCAGAATTATGAGTATTCCAAACCATTTGTAAGGGTATTCGATATTCATAAGCGACTACAAGCATTTCATATAAAGTATTCCATCTAGTAGCCACTGTTTTTGGAATTTTTCTAGGTGGAAGATTATTTTCAAAACAGCGATTTTGAAAATATCTACGCCTAGACTTAACTTGACATTTAAATATAAAATGACATGCATTTTCAACTTTCGTACATCCGTTATCATACATATTTACACCATCTCCAACCATCAAATTATATATATGTGCACTACACCTAATAATATGATAATTTATCACCATAGAAATGACAAAGTGTAGTTTTTAAATATTCAACAACAGAATTATTACTTGAAGCATTATCTAATGTTATACTATTTATTTTATCACATATTCTATAATTTTGTAAAATATCTAAAATAGTTTGAGCAATATAACTATCGGTTTTTTGCATTTGACAACATTTATAACTTAAAATTCTTTTTTTGCATATACCAATTTTCATCAATCCAATGTGCACTAACAGTCAAATAATCGTTACCATTTACACTACGACCTCTATCAAAAGTAATAGCTATTTTACAAGTATTATAATAAAATAAACAACGAATATATTGAAAATGTTGTGCATGATAATCAAATACAACCTTTTTTATTATATTTCTAGCAAAACCTTTAAAATTTGGATTATATACAATTTGAATATAATGTAAAAAATTAGGATTTTCAGCAAAACTAAATGGCAAACCCATAACACATATCATTTTAGTTAATTCTTCAAGATCTTTTTCTCTACTATATGAAGGTGGTAAACTAGAGCCAGAAACATTAGACGGATTTAATTGTATTTGTACCATTTTAGAGCAGCCTACTCCTACATTTTCAGGAAGGGGGTACCTTTTTTTTAGCTTCCGCTACCGCTTTAGCATGCAAAAAATCATTTTTACGACAAGACATTAAATGACTACTCAAATGTCCCGTCCTGCCAGATTTGCCAACAGTTTTATGATTTAAAATATGTTTACATTTATTACAAATAACTTGTATTTTATCTTCGTTTTGTGTCATAAATTGCCAAACAATCGATTTTTTAACACGTTCTACCTTAGGCCTAGGATGTATTGGGGGAACTGGGGCAGGACAATGAAAGGGAGAGGGACTGGGAGTATTAGTAGTCGTAGGTGGCTCAGTTTCATCATCATCATCATCAAAAGTAGGCGTATTAATATAATTATCAATATCATTATCATTATCATTATCATTATCATTATCACTAGGCAAATCCTCATCAAAATAACCAAAGCGACGTTGTAAATGTTCATGATAAGGATCTAATCATGAATTACTATCAATATTAAAAACAGTATCATCAACATGTGTATAATCATTTGTATTTATTCTTAATATAGTGGATTTTTTAGTTTTTGATTTAGAAGAACTATCGGTTTTTGCATTATCGGAGGATTTAAAGTTACAAATATTTTTTACACGCTCTAATACACTTTTTTCCCCTTTCCTTTTTGAACAATATTTTTACCGAAATCCATATTAAAAAATTAAACGTGAGATTAAATATAATACGAAAAATGTTATGCAATTATGCAAATAATAAAACACAAAACAAATAAATAGTTATTTAAATATAAATGAAACGTAATATAAAAGTTAGAACGAATGTACCGAACGTCTACTTAAAAAAGTAGACGTTTATGATCACCGTAAGCCGAACCTGGAAAGTTGAAAATTGAATTTTGAAGCTTCAAATCTAATTTCCAAAGACCAACTAAGGCAACACTGGAATTTAAGATATTATATATTATAGAATTAGAGATTAGAGATCGAAAGTAGAGAGTTGAGAGAGTAGAAGATGAATAGATGATTTTGTGATTTAAAAGAATGAAATTTAGGGGTATTTATAAGTAAAAAATGGGTTAAAATGTAATTTTTAAAACTTTAGGGTATTTAAAAAGTTAGGGGTGGGGTAGGGCTCCTATTGGATGAAATTCTACTCAAATAGCCGTTGGGGGGCCCACTAGCCGTTACCCAACGGCTAGTAACGGATATATTTTTAAAAAGAAAAAAATTAACCGAACTGGTATTTATCGGAACTGATAAATTCCGATATTTACCGATTTCCGTCTCGGTACCTGTATCGGAACCGGAAATTAACGGTTCTTAACGATACTAACCAGTACCGAATCGGACCGGGACGGAACGGACAGGAATCCGGTAAGTACCAGTTCCGCTGCCAGGTATAGCGACACTTATGAGGGCATAGGTGCATATCTGCTACAGAAAAAGTTTAGATCATCAGAGATAAACATAAGATAACCCAGAGTTGTCAGAAGTCCTATGCATATATAAGGAAAAGGGACTTAGAATTTGAGATTAATGCTTGATTTTCCTGAAAGTGTTACTTATAAAGGAAATAATGAGATTTGGCTAGAAAGG